GCCAAATCCCATCCGAGTATGTTGCTACTTTGCGCCTGCAGAATGCCCATTTTCCCCCCCGTTAGAATGATTACCAGTCGCTCCTACCAGAGGGCAGACAGAAAGAGAACGCCAGGATGGAGGAGCCGCTGCTTCTCGTTATTCCCGGTTCTAGTCTCCTTTGTTGTCCTGCATCCCCCTGTCTCCCTTGTCTGCACCCTTCTGCTGCTGCCCAGCTGAAGCAAGCCGGTCTGTAAATTACCGGGGGGGGGGGGTCTGAAGCCAGATAGTTTGCATCGCAAATTCATAGAACCACAAACTGAAAAAAGCTGTTGAGCCATCATTGTTCATAATTAGTTTTTGACTGAAGTCCCAGTCTGCTATAGGGAATGGTTTTATCTTTGTGTACGTGTAGGCGGGAAGAGAAAAGTAGGGAACTGAGTCAAGGAACCAATCCTTATCCCGAGGGGAAGAAAGAATAGGGTAGTGTAATCTAACCCCATGGGATCAAAGGTGGGGCCAACACAGACATAAACACCTTTACACTATGTTCTGTCTCCCTGATTTTGCTGATTGAAATAGTAAATAGTAAGTTGGGACAACAAAGCTCTTACCCTGCAGATGCACACCTTCTTTTCTTTTGGTCAGATGGTGATTGGCAACCCTCAGTTTGTTCAGCGTCTGAAGCGCTCTCCGGTCTGTCCAGGCCTGATGGGTGCATCAGGCGTTTCTGCCCCTGGAAAAAGCTGTGTAAGTTCTTCCATCACAGCTCATTTCCCGCTGCAGAATAAGGGAAAAAAGGGGACAGTCACACACTGAGGTATCAAAATCCAGTTTGTAACCTTGCCGAGGATTTGCCTCTAGGGAAAAGTTTGTCGAGCTCCCTGAATGTGAGCAGTCACAGGACTCCAACCAAAGCACCCCACCTCCTGGCTGCAGCTGGCAATTGGGAGTCCTCGCTGCTCTGCCGTCGGCCCACATATCCTAGGGAAATATCTCCCAACATTTTTTGTGCCCTGGCTCTCCCAGCCACTGATGAGCTGGAATAAAGCCTGCCTTACATCTCACAAGAATGTCAAGTGGTTTAACGCATGTTTACAAAAGGACCCAGAGATTTTTGGATGAAAGACATTCTGTAAGCACCATGTGGTTTGATGTGCTGCCATCTTGGTACCCGAAGGATAACTTTAGGGATACAAAAACCTGTATTCAGACTCCTGTGTTCGGGGAGGGCATCTGCCTGCCTGCAGAATGCAAATCTGCTCAGACCAGAATTAGCTGATGAATGAAAAAACCCACCTCACATATTTTAGTCTGTATTCCCAAACACAGTGTGCTACTTGTTACGTACCACTGCACCAACAAGTCATTGTCTACCAAAAAAAAAAAGTAAAAAAAAAAAAAAAAAAAAAAAAAAAAAAAAAAAAAAAAAAAAAAAAAATTGGATGAAAGACATTCTGTAAGCACCATGTGGTTTGATGTGCTGCCATCTTGGTACCCGAAGGATAACTTTAGGGATACAAAAACCTGTATTCAGACTCCTGTGTTCGGGGAGGGCATCTGCCTGCCTGCAGAATGCAAATCTGCTCAGACCAGAATTAGCTGATGAATGAAAAAACCCACCTCACATATTTTAGTCTGTATTCCCAAACACAGTGTGCTACTTGTTACGTACCACTGCACCAACAAGTCATTGTCTACCAAAAAAAAAAAGTAAAAAAAAAAAAAAACAACCCCAAAACCCAAGATGCATTCTTCTTGCAGCTGGACTATGGGCAGTTCTAAGTCTCTCATAATCCACATACTGAAGTGCCGTGCTGAAAACTTACGTTTGTGCCAAAACACATGGTAATCAAACAAAATAACGATAGAAAAAATGTACGCTGAATTTTTTTTCTTTGGCATTTGATCATGTTCAACTGATAGCATGTTTTCATCTCAGGGTAATTTAAAGCCACATGGAATCCTGCTAACAAAAATTAGTTTGATTAGATTGGGATTATAGTAACTCCTAAATAGCCCTTATTGCTGAAATGTAGTTTAGCATTTATTCTAGAGGAAGAAACACAGATGAGATGGGATTCCCTAGGTCCTGATTTCCAGCCCCCTCTTCTTGCAGCAGCCTCGTGGTAAAATGCATTGATTACAGCGAGCAGGTTTCACCTTAACAGCAACTGGCAGGGGCGAGGCTGCTCCTGAGAAGCCTTCTCCAACCCCTCGCTTCTCCGGTCTAAATGTTCTTCTGACCTCCTGCCTATTTCGGCAGTATTAGGAGTATTATTTCCTGCTAGCATCTATGACTTTGTCCTCCCAGGAACCCTGTCCTCTAGCTGCAGCAGCCCTTCTCATCCTACCTGCCGAAGGCGGGTGGGAGGCTTACTCGATTCTCGGGATGTCATCAGTTTTCAAAGAACACCACGAATGAAGGTATGCAGGGGAAATTTCCTTCTGTGGCCAGACATCCAGGCTTCCTCAAAGCAGCCGCCGTCTCGCTGTCTGCTGGTCTTTGTGTTAAAGAACATGGGAATGCCAAGAAGCTTGGGCCTTGTACGTAGGGAAGGCAGCCGGCGAGTTGCACGGGACAGTGCCCCGTTCTCTTAGCCCTCAGTACAGGCCTCAGAGAGGTTGACTTTGTTTTGCCGGTGGACTTGGGGTTCATGTCTCATGTCGAAGCGCGTGATGGAAACTAATTTGTCACGGAGTGAAAGAGTCCAACAGTTAGGCACTGGAACAGGCTGCCCAGGGAAGTGGTACAATCACAGTCCCTGGAAGTATTCACAAAACGTGTGGATGTGGTGCTTAGGGAGGTGGTTTAGAGGTGGACCAGGCAGTTGGGTTAACAGGTTGGACTCGAGCTCAGAGCTCCTTTCCAACCTTAGCGATTCTATGATGCTATGAATATATGAAAAGTGTTGGCACTAGACATCGATTTCCCAGCAGAAAGGCTGTCTGAGCTCTGATCTTGTCTTCACTGGCTTAAATGGGAAAGGATGGTAGGAGTGGGGTTGGAAACTTGGCAAAACGCAGGAAGTTATTAATTGACAGCTAATTGACTATTTCCGTCTTCAGATGTTTTATTTCTTTTTAATGAACGTGGGGAAGTCTTTGCAGAGAGACATATATCCCCCACCCCTCCCGCCCGGCCCCCGAGATAACGTAGAGCAATTCCTTCCTAATCTGGTCGTGGTTTTCCAGGAGAAACAATCTCTATGTGTGCGATTGGACTTGTTAACCAAGTTGTGTCCTGGGGGACAGGATGGACAGGATGTACGGATGAAATATGAAGTAACTTAAAAGAATCTGTGTATTTAATTTGTCTCTAAGTTTGTGCATGTTCATATTCTTAGATTTAAACAGTGAACGAAAAAAAAAATCTTCTGTTTACCACTTAACGTGGGTAGTCAGGAGCATTAAATAATTCTATGGATGACAAATGAACGTGACCGATTAGCATATCAAAGCAAGGCAGTCATTACTACTGAGCTGGATGTATTTTGTCCACCCACCTTTCACTCATTTTCTGCAGGCATCTAAGCATTGGGCTGCACAGTCTTCCGGGAGGCATCTTCTACTTGCGCTGACTCGCTTGCTCAAGGACGTAACTGTGTGCTGTGCACACCGTTTTACGTTATCTGGCTGTAATCCAAGGCTATGGAGTTGTGTGGCAAATCACCCACTGACTTCAGAGATGCCAGGATGAATTCTGTCAGGGCGTTGTAAATTCATCTCCCAGTCGTTATACCTTGCTCCGTTCCTACCAGAGGTGTGAAAAGCTTTAGTATAGGCAACAGGGAGGCCTATTGTTTTGCACTTTTTCAAAGTGAGGAAGAAATCAAGGCGCTTTAAAAACCAGAACCGTGTATCTAGTTGGAATGGCGTATCCTTGCAGAAGGCAGGAAAATGAAAAGGTATTTTCTGAATTTCTTGAATCCTCCTCACACACAGAATGATTGCCTGACTTCCTCCCATCTCCCCCGTCTTTCGCAAAAGATAGGCTCATCTGATCAGCAGCAGAAGTGCAGCGTGCCACTTCAGGGATCAGATGAGTATCCCAGCGAGGTACGCATAGCGGTGCCATCGCAGCGTGTAATTTGTAGGTTCATCTGAGCCGGAAAGGTTGCTAAGCCAGTACTAGCAGTGAGTGTGCAAATGACAGCCTGTTAGTTGGCTGCGTGGCAAGTACACAGCCCAAAAGGGCTGAGGTCAGGTGAGAAAAAGTTTGAGAAGTCAAAAAACCAAAAAGTGCGAGAAGGCTTGGGGAATTCCAGCACCTCTGACCTGGGAGAAAGACTGATAGAGTGCTGAAACCCTCCCGTGTCCATTTTGTATTTGACGCAGCAGGCTGATTCCTTTGGACTTTAGTTTAGCGCCGGACGTTTTGGAAGCTAGCGAGCACAGTCAGCCTGACGGAACGGTTTGCTCCGGAATTAATCCCAGGCTGACACCTACAGCTCTCCGGGGAGCTGGGATTTTCCTTGGGGAGTGGAGTTCAGGCCCCACTGCTGTATCTGGGCCACGAGGAGACTTCCAAGAACTCCTTACTACCAGAATTATATTAAAAACAAGAGAAAGGAAAACAGTAAGGCAGCGAGAGTTCCAGTGAGATCCTACGGGGAAACCATTGGTTCCCACATCTGGTTTGCAGATCTGTGGTGGTCCGGGAAGCACTTTCAGGTGGTCTCCAGAGCTGTTTCCGTCAGTCGTCGTTCTCAAGCCCTACCGCTTCCCGCTAGTTATAACCCGGGCTCTGAGTCTTTTAGTAACGCTAGTGCTGAATGGATGAGGAGACAGCTAGGGGCCTCGGTTTTGGTTTGCCAGAGATCAGATATGTAGGGCCACCTTTGGACAGTTTTTCTAATATTTAGTAGGCTTCTGCTCCTCAGTGAATCGGTCTGGTTTTCCGAGGGGCTGTTGTGGAATCGGGAACTACTCAGCATGAATGAGGAGGTCAGAATCTGCCCTTTACGCTGGAAGAATGACATCCATTAAAAGTACAGCATTTCTGTTTCACATTTTCACAGCTTTTACAACTGGGATAGAAATGTCAGCACTTCAAATTCCAGCCCAAATTACCAAGTGATTGCAGAAAATGCCTGTGGACTACTCTTCGAGAACAAAAGTGATAGGAAAATAATAAATGTGGATCCCAAGGTAAATGTCTTTTTTTTTCTTTTTTTTTTTTTTTTTTTTTTTCCTCCTTCAGTATTCTAAATTTCCTTTATGCAATGGAGTTTGACTGCTAAACTATTGAGTCCGATGGCAAATAGTGTCTTTATCGATACACACCTAATATTTCAGGCTTACTCAGACATGCTATTCCCCTTGTTAACACAGCTGCCCCGGTCCCTGTCAGGATAAACTTAGCCTGCCTCGTTCAGGACTGAGCGTGTCTAGGCCTTTCCCTGGTGACAGCAAAAATCAGAAGTCGAACTGATAGAACTGAAAGATTTCCGAAGCAGGGTTTCTCTTCTACCCTGCCCCTTTTCCTGCCCTTTTTCCTTCCAACCCGAACGAGAAACTGTTGCCGTTACTGCCAGGATAGGCTGCAGGCTGAGGCTGTGTCCTAGGAACGGGATTGCGGAGAAGCGCTAAGGGAGGGGAAGCGTGGGAGAGGGAACAGGCTGAGGAGGAAAGCGGGACTGACTGGAAGCTGTGAGGACTGAAAGCACGGGAGTGCATAAGCAGGTGCATCTGGTGTGGAAAGACACTGCGTTTTACTCAGAGGACGGCACGTGTGCCTCTAGCTAAGAGGAAAAATTGCTGAACTGTCGGTGACGCGTCCTGGGGCTGATGGTCCCGGTACTCATCTCCTCTTAAAAATCAAATCTTTATTATGAAACATGCCTGCAGGTGGATAAACATAAATAAATATCGGACAAAAATAAATAAATGTTAGGCTGCTTTGAAACAAAAGCTCTAATATCCCAAATCCTGGCAGGGCCTGCTGAACACCGGCAAATCCAAAAAGCGGTTCCCGCATCCGAAGCGCGGGCCACCTTCCACCCCAGCGCTTGTGCGGCGGTGAACCGAAACCGGCAGAAATCCTTTCCCAGCCGCACGCAATCCTTATTCTTCCTCCTTAACACAAAAGATTTGAGAAGTCCTAAGGAAAGCGACCCCATTTAGGTTATTTGGTTCTTGCAGCAAATTGAGGTTGTCACCGGCATAAGGGTCAGACTTGGATTTTAAACCCCGTCCCTCACAAAAGAGAAATCTGACACTAGATGCGTCTGCTTGTGGAGAGCCGTGTTGCTCCAGCACACAGTACATGGTTCAGAGGATTTACAACTGAATAAAAGAAAGGAAGATACTTGTGCCTCGGTAGTACTATAAAGGGGATGAACGTTGAGGGCTCTGTGTCTCATATATGATTGACAGTGCAAACGTGTGCTTTGCTTTCCCCTAAAATTGGCTCGGATCCCATTATTGCTGAAGTTGATTGGTCTCTACCATTATTTACATAGGAGTTGAATCCAAACAAAGCAAATCCTCGAGTCATACCGAGGCATCCCGTTGTCAGCCATAGTTGCAAGCTGATTAAATTGCCATGGGTATTTTGTCTTTCATGTTGAGAGCTGAACGGGTAATAACATTATAGACAACTTCCCTCTGTAAGAAACGGACTGTGTTCCTCTGGTGCCAACCACACTTTTTTAAACTTCACAGCTGAAGTCCTTGGACTGTAGATTGGATGTGACAAACACGCCCAGGCTTTGGTTACTCTCAAAACCAACACGAACTAAGCTGGGCAATAATTTGTTTGGGTTTCTACAGAACTGATCTAGCATGATGGTTTCTTTGATGTACTTCCCATGAAAGATGGTCGCATATGAATAGTAACAGTACAAAATATCGAATTATATGCATTTCAAAATAAGTGCATTGGTTTGTTAGAAATTCAAAAATGCATACCTAAAAATGTGTTTGGTTGCCTTGAAAGCGGGCCACTGCTCCAGCTTCCTACAGCTGCGGAACATCTGTAACAAATAACCAGCTCTTTAGCGTCTACGCGCAAGATCTTCACGTGCCAAGAGCCACAGTAAGAAGCGTTTGTCCATGTACCGAGTTGTGTCTCCCCACAGGTTGCAGGGCACGGACCTGTGAGTCCCCATGCGATCCATCGGGCTTTGGCTTTTCTGTAGCACTCGCTGTTGGAGAACAAGCTTTCGAGAGGCGCTTGCTATGGGCCAAACTGAAATCAGCACCAGTTCTCTCTCGTGGGGTTCAGCTTGAACAGACTTAGTACCAGCTGCCCGATCTTTGCAAGCGGGCCTTCCCTTTGACCAGTCGGTGGTCCGCTTGTTCCTAGTCGTCCTGAGCTAAAAGAACTCTATTGCTGTCTTTGCATCTGCTAAAAGCATTGCAGGAGAAACGAGCTGCCCGGTGCCAGGACACGAATCTTCACTGAGAAATCCCTGCCCTCAGAGCTAGTTGCATTTACCAAACTTTACATTCCAAGGGAAGAAGAAGAAAATGCACGACATTAAAAACCGTGTCTTTTCTCTCTCCTGACTGGGTATCTGTAATATTCTGTGTTTCAGGCCTACCCAGGAGACAACACAACGCGGACGCCTGTTGAAACACATCTCTATCTCCATGTTGTTATCTATGACCATATCATCAGAAAAGGGACCTAAGGTCCATCTGTGTGGCTCTTCTCACAGTGATTTGTGTAGTTGTTTTCAAGCCATCTGGAAGAAAAAGAAACAGTTGAAAGATCTTCACCTTGTGTTCAGGGGTAGGAAGGAAGGGGGATTTTTATACTGGTTTAGAGTTGGTTTGTGTCTCACTCCTTGAGGGAAATAAAGTGGAAGGAAGACGCTATACTGGCTGTAGAGTCCATGTATCTGGGCCCCTTGTTTGTCCTTTGTGAAAGCCGGAGGGTACGTGAATTGCAAAAGCACCTACGGGGAAGACAGAAGGTCTGGACCCAACTTTTCCCACTACTCCTAAGGCAGCAGGGCGGCTGGGACAGAGGTGCCGCATTCTTCCCTGGAGTAAAGAAAAGAAGCTACTGTCCCATAGTTTCCCAGCGACGGGATGTTTTAAATTCTTCCTGGGAGACTCTTCTTCCCGTAGGCCTGGACCTCTGTTGAGCAGCTAACACCACGGAATACGGACCAAGCCACGCACAGGGTAGCGGGGAGAAGTTGTACCCAGCAGACTGGTAAACGTAGAGAGATCTGCAGCGTTCTGATGGCATTAGTGGTTCCTTGAAGACCACTTGTGATCCATTCCTGC